TCCTTTTTCTCAAATTTAAATCTGCTTGACAGCTGAGTTACAATGTACCAGCAGTCACCGGCCGATCGAGCATGACGGGCCGCACAATAGATCGCTTTCCTTTCACCTTGGCTTTCAACCGATATGTTTTGACAAGAGAAGGCTGTGATTTTCAGAAAGCTGCGGCCCAAAATTCATTCAAAATAACAGCCTGGAATCTGAGGTCATTATAAACGTACACTGTATTTCATTTGGATTGTTTAATAAATATAATTAAGTAATTGAACCTTGTTATTCATCCAGTCTATGAGCAAAAGACGGATGGAGGGACAGAGAGAGAAAAAGGGATTAGTTAAATAACAGGAGAGAAGGGTGGGTGTTCGATTGGCCTGTGTGGATTTTAATTAGTGTTAATTGGCCACAGAAATGAAGGCTGGCTCAGGGAGAGTGTGTGTGTGTGTGTGTGTGTGTATTCATAAATATGCTCCACTCTTCTCTTTCTCCCCTCTAGCAATGGTTGTTTTGTATGGTTGCGTCCCTAGTCAAGGCTGTATTGGTACACAGGTGGACTTAGGGACTGACAGGAGCTGCACATTCTGCCTTTCATACATCAATGAGATCCACTGGGTTTCTAGTTCACCCCCTCAACCGGGCAGAGTATGTATTATTACCAGAGTTGGGCAAGTTACTTCCAAAATGTAATACATTATATATTACTAGTTACTGTCTTTTGAACGTAATTAGTTACGTTACAATATTACTGTCTCTGAATTGTAATGCGTTACACTACTTTTGAGTTACTTTTGAGTTACTTTCACCAAAATATCCACATTAGTATTATAAAATGCCAAAATGTAGTTTAATGCTGCTCATTCTACATCCAGTGGAGGGTAATGTGGTAGGTCTATATAGCATAAAATATGAAATCATATTTAGATACCGGTATGTAGGTCTACATTAATGTTACGTTGTAGTTTAGTTAAAAAAAATATAGTAAGCACAAATCGCATTATTACATTCATAAATAACACTGGTAAATAAAGCGAAATATTATCATGTACAAACAATAAACACAATACCTAGCCTATAGGCTATTTTGAACGGTTTCAGAAGAAAACAAGAATGAAAAATATAAGTTGCTAAACAAGCCAAAATGAATTAGGCTAATTCAATGCGAAACTGAAAGCAAACGGCGTTCTCGCGCAGCCTACCTCTCTCATTCGGCATTAATCCATTAAATGTGTCCATATTTGCGATGTATTTGAATGCTTTATGTAATCCAAGCTTACTTAACGCACTTAAAAAACATCCTCGTCACATGAGCAATTGTGTGTTTGGCCCGAGCTCAGGCTGATCGACACGGATTGTACTACGCAGTAGGCTACGCACTATTTAAATTAACCAGTGTATCTATGTTTGGTTGACTGTATTTTATTCTGATAATGAACAGGCTGCAACGTTTGCAATGCTGTATGTGTGTGCGTGAGGCGCCGGCGCGATCGAACAGCGGAAACAAACAACAAAAAAATACTCTGTTATTTTTGGTCATACAGATCATTCGAAACTGCAATGTGTTTACTTTTATTTCTGTCATCTCGGTTTCCTTTCCCTGGACTTTCGTAGAGCGCCGCGCCACACAAATAGCATATGAACCAAACTCAGCAACATAGCCTATCTCTCAGTCTTTTCCTTTCGTTTTGTTAATCTGTTAATTTGGCTATTGAAGTCAAATATTTCGCACATTCATTCATTTTATATATAGGCTATGATTTAATAAAAACAGATTTTATTTTTAGTTAAACTTAATTTTTGTTGCTCGTCCGCCGTCTTTTTCTCTTCTCCGACCCCGCAGCTCTCTCTCCGATAGCTTAGTGTTAGTGGCACCAGTCTAGGTGTTTCCAGGTTTTACTCGTGCTATTTCTCCATGTTGGGAGTTTGGTTTCGCACATATTGCAGCATGCATTCTTATCCTTTTCTCCGATGAACTGAACATAACAGGAGTGTGTCCATCTCACAAATGTAGAATCCGTCTCTGCAGTCATCTCAACCATCTAATTCCAGCAACAGAAGATAGACAAACTATTTTACCCGCGGAATTTTTTCTCTGGTGCTGTTTTGCGGTGTTAGTAAATTCACCACTTAATTTTGAGTTAAAATATGTTGTTGTAACTTGCGTTACTGACATTGTAACGAGTAATAATATTACCCAAATTGTATTAGTAATGCGTTATATTACTGCGTTACAGCAAAAAGTAATATACTACTGTAATATTATTACTTTTGTAATGCGTTACTCCCAACACTGATTATTACTATACTTCTGTTTTACTATAAGACACAAACATACACTCCCCTATCCTCATCCAACAAGCAACAGATGTGCGAGCACATGTGCAAACTGCAGCTCAGGCAGTCAAAACATGACAATACTCTATACAAACACTCAAATCTCAGATTTCATTTAGGGGCTTTTGCCTGTAATTAGAAATGCTTTCCAATAGTATCACGCATACTTTGGGTTCAAGCTGAAGTATATAATTTCTGTGCCACCAAATGGAATGTTTGCAAAAACAAACATTGTTTTCAAAAAAAGGTTTCCAAATAAGCCCAGATCAACCTTTGATTCAACAAACTGATAGCCCCGCCCCCAACTCACACCATTGGTTGAGTGAGTGTTGTCGTGAAGGACAACAATAGGGGAATTTTCATAGCGCCACAGAGACATAATATTTACTGTCTTCGAGAAAAATAACCTTGAATAGCATAACCTACTTACAGTTGTCTCTGGATATTAAGCTGAGATAGAAGAAAGTATTTAAATGCTGAAAAAGTTATATAATTCAGCTTTGATGGTTTAAAAAAAAAAAACTCTAAAAATTAAATGTTTGCACTGTTGTCCCAAACCCATAAGTCAAATTGGTAACACTTTAGTATAGAGACAAATTCACACTATTCAACTAGTTGCTTATTAGCATGCCTATTGGCTATTTCTTAGCACATATTCTGCATGACCATATTCTACATCCCTAATCCCTAAACTTAACAATTACCTTATTTAAATAACAGGAGAGAAGGGTGGGTGTTCGATTGGCCTGTGTGGATTTTAATTAGTGTTAATTGGCCACAGAGGGAAATGAAGGCTCAGGGAGAGTGTGTGTGTGTGTGTGTGTGTGTATTCATAAATATGCTCCACTCTTCTCTTTCTCCCCTCTAGCAATGGTTGTTTTGTATGGTTGCGTCCCTAGTCAAGGCTGTATTGGTACACAGGTGGACTTAGGGACTGACAGGAGCTGCACATTCTGCCTTTCATACATCAATGAGATCCACTGGGTTTCTAGTTCACCCCCTCAACCGGGCAGAGTATGTATTATTACCAGAGTTGGGCAAGTTACTTCCAAAATGTAATACATTATAACACTTTAGTATAGAGACAAATTCACACTATTCAACTATGCCTATTGGCTATTTCTTAGCACATATTCTGCATGACCATATTCTACATCCCTAATCCCTAAACTTAACAATTACCTTATTATTAATAAGCAGAAAATTAGGAGTTTATTGAGGCAAAAGTCATAGTTAATGTTAGTTAATGAAGTCTTGTGAAGAGATGCAGTCACTTTTTATAATTAATAGATTAAATTTATGTTTTTTGTTTTGTTTTTTAATTTATGGGTCTGAAACAACATCAGGGTGAGTAAATGATGACAATTTAAATTTTGGAAGTGAACTCTCCCTTTTAACTTGTTCTTGCATTGGATATGATTGACATTTAAAATCTTTCAGCATGTTCAGCTGAGGTTTGCTATCACTTTTGCAAATGACCAGTGCGTTTATAATCCGGTTGATGACATAATGGGTGAAAAAACACCATAGATTTGCACTGAAGGAGTGACCTGAGTCATATTTAAAGCCCAGACAATGACACTTTGAGATTGGCTGAACACCCAAGCATTTGTGGCAGCCAGTTTTGCATAGACAAATTTCAGAACATGTAAAAATCTAGTGAGAGAGAGAGGGAATGAACTCGAACCCACACCAGCAGAAAATTTTAATTTTGAAATGTTACATTTTACAGCTCACAAATCACAAATAGCCCAAACACCTGTTCGTACATAACTTATAATCAGATCAGTCATTATACAAGCAGTGTGCGGTGGGCGCAGACAGACACAAACACTAATTTCAGTCCTGCAATTACTGCTGATATTTACTGTTCTACTTCCCACAGTTTAGTACAGTTCAAAGAGAGAAGATGAGAAAGAAAACGAAGTTGGAGAGAAAAATCAACTAAAGATGAAGTAAATCCTAACAAAGAGCATAGCCTAGAGTGCGAGGCAAATCATCGATGTGTATCCGTGTGTGTGAATGTATATGTGTGTGTGTTGCTGGGAGGGGGGTTGGTGGCTGGAGAATCAGCAGCGTGTGCATCTCTGTCTCCGAACAGCTAGGTACGGTGGGGGGGATCATAAATTAGACAAGGAAATTACTGCTAAGTGTGCGAATAAATTAAAGTGCGCTTGCTTCTGTAAACACTGTCTGACTACATAATTACTGAACCCTCTCTGGAAGAGTGAAAGAGAGGGAGGGAGATGAATGGGGGGAGGGAGGGTGGGAGAATGATAGGCAAAAAGGTTTGTGTTGATGGTTTATTCATTTATTCATATGGCAGCGTGCAACGTGTACGCAACCGTTTGACATTTCACTGAGAGGTTGCACAACACCTGCTTACAATCGTAAGACGGGAAATGAAAAACCGTGCAAAAAATGTACTTTATGACATTTATCAAGTGTAATTTAGTTTCTACAGAAGTATGGTGCTGACTTTGAAGCGATCAAGCGTAAACACAGGCAAGGTTTGCTCTTCGCCTTATCCATCCAGCGTACTGGAAAAGATGCTCAGGTTTAATTCTACCAAATGATTCTGAATTCATCATCCAACATTAAAGAGTTTAAAACATTTCAGACTGATGTTTATATGCCATTTGTATGATGCTTGGTGTGTTTCATGAGCGACTCACATTTTGCAGGCAGACCGTAGGCTCCGGTGATCTTGGCCTCCCCCATTTCACAGCCGTTCAGAGTGGCACATTCCTTCCTCAACAGAGGACCAGCCCCACGATGAATGGCACCATCCACTGAAAATTGGAAAATATTTTATTATATGTAATATGTATATATGTGTGTACTTAACCATATCTTGGGGAGAAATTTGCACCCAGAAAACATGCATAAAAATGCAGTAAATATTTTTTAATAATATAAGGCAATAATAAGGCAATAATATGCCTATGTAAATTTCCTAATTACTATATATATATATATATATATTTCCACTGCAATTTAACAACATGCATGCATATTTTTAAACCTGGATAAATATGATTTGCAGGCAGCTGTATATGATGAGCTCTTCCTAATAATAATCATCCTAATAATAATATTGCATGACAACAATTATGCAGTTCACTAGATTGGTTTACCCAGTGACACAACTAACCCCACTCTCCTCAAGAGAAACACTGTAATGCTGATGTTCTTTTACAAACCCAACTCCCATTTATCATTTGATGACACAAAAAAATCTGATTTCTCATAGCACTGAGGGCAGCAATTTGAGGGCCATAACAGTTTTACTCAAGGGTTTTTTAGCACCCTGGCACTTTTGCTGATATGTGCTCAGAATCTGCAGGAGCGAGAGATAGAGTGATAAAAAGATAGAAAGATAGGGAATATATACTGAGAAACACCATAGAGAGAGTGAAGTGGAGGAAAAAAACAGAGAGAGAGACAGAGGGACAGATGGAGGGAAGTTGTACTCAGGGCTTTGGAGTGGAGGAAAGGAGGATGAGAGGAAGGAATAAGGGAAAAGATGCGAATGTGGTGACGAGGTACGCCTGTTGGGAATAGTTTGCCTTCCTGTGTAATTGCAACATGCATGCACACACGCTTTTTATATTACACAGACATCTTGTTAGCAGGTGCTAATTGGCTTCTTGCTTACTTGACAAGGGGTTTGTGACATGGAAAAAACATATAATATTTTCCTATATTGCATGCACAGCTTTTTTTCAGTCCTCATTCACATGTGCTCCTTACATGCAACCCCACGCAACATCTAACCACATGCACACACACAAAATTTCTGCATACAAAACCATTCGTTAACAGTTGTTCTCAATTTCCCATCAAATCAGTTTGGCCTGGACTGAGCGGCACTAACAAGTGTTATTGAAAACACACCCTTTTATTGGCTGAGCTGGTCACCATGGCAGCCATTAGTAAGAGCATTTGATTGGATCTGGCACATCTGCTTGCCTGTGTCACAAATCCCTCGACACCAAAGCACTATCTCTCTCTAAACACTCGCTCGGCGCTCTGGGTTTTCAACCAGAATACCAACATTCCACTCAATGCCAAGTGGAGGACAGAACACACACATTCTCACTCAAAAAAATGAAACAATCAATCAATACTTATCCATGTGTGGCTTTCCAGGTTACTAAAAACAGGGCAAAGAAATCTCATAAACAGACTTAAAGAAGATTTAAAAAGGAGCAATATGCCAAAATACAGCATTACACCACAAACGCAACAAAACTCCCAAAGAGACTCTAATGTCACAGTGTTCTTTCATACAATCTGGAGCTCTCTCAGCTCTGAGCATCAGGACTGATGTCTCCCACTGTAATAAACTGAAAATTTTGATCGCCTGTGCCATTTCCAAGTATGATCCATTTGACCAGGAACGCAAAAAATCCAGCATCAATTATTTTTATCACTCACTCACTCAC